TATGTATACCGTATAATATATATATATATAATTATATATATATATCCTGCAAGATACTTAATTTTGCGGCTAATATTGTACACACATTGTAGTATTGCATTGATTGATGACAATCACTGCAGAGGCACGTACATGTACAGCAATTAACATGAGCCTGTGGTATTGTGGTAGGACTCCAACACGTATAAACTCGTAACTGCATAGATACGGCAAATTTAAATGCTATTATCAAAACGATTTTCTATAAACTTTAACTCTTTTAATTCACTTAAATATGTTTCCCATTGACGTTGTCATGCGAATTTAGAGCTTAGAGCGTTAAAACAGATTTTCTTAAAGAAAAAGAACCATTATCTTTTTTCCTAAGTAGTAGCCATCGTTGATTACATATTTAACAAACTTCAACGTAGCGAAGCACGTTAAAACATTATGATGCTTCGTCGCGTTCCATTTAGCTGAAAACAAGAATATGTACACACATATACGACATGTTCGCAACACTTCATTTGATCATACAGGCATTCATACGTATCTATTTCTAAATTTTAATATTCAGTCTTCAGGCTTGCAGTCTGTCAATAAATCTATGTACACCGGGTTATTTACACGGGAAGAAACCGTTTTTCAACTATTAGCAATTAGATAGAACAGATTCGGCGAATATCGTCGAACATTATACGATTTTTATGGCGTTATCAATATGTAGTTTCGATATTGTCTTTTTCACACGTAGCGCTGTTAAACGAACCGCCGGATTTGCGTGCCAACACTCAGCCATAAGCTTACTCAGCGCAAACAGTATCTGCAACAAAAAGAGAACACGGTACGTGTTAATGAAACAACGGAATACTTTCTTGTAAATGTCTGATAGATTTCCTACTTACCGAATCGTTTTCCCATCGCGCTGGTATTACGGGACGTAATCGTTTTACGCAAACTGCCAGCCGCATGTCTTCGAAATCCGGATCGCTGGGGACGACGTCATGGTACGGTAACGCGTACGGCTCCACCAGAGAGTTTTTACCGCCTGTGACACATCTCCTACACGCTTCCCAAAGTACGAGACCAACAGAATATATATCTGCCATTTTAAAAGCATCGAAGGAAGCCGTGTTCAAGGTTTCATCTAAAACCTCCGGTGCCATGTATCGGCGAGTACCTACTCGCGTATTAGGTGCGATATCAATTTCTCCACTTTCGCTGTGTGAGCAAACAAACAAAGGAATTCATGATTCAACGATATGCGCGTAAACTCAAACTAGGTCGTAATTACGACTAATATTATTTACTAATCACCTTATGTATCTAACTGCTAAACCGAAATCGGCTATTGCACACTCGCCATTCTTTTTAACCAAAATATTTCTACTTTTAATATCTCTATGAGCTATAGCAGGCTTTCCGCGTGTACCAAAGATCTCTGTGTGGAGATGAGCAATTCCAGAAGCAATCGAAAGGCATATCGCTAAAAGACCTGGATGATCTAGAACGGTAGTTTGTAAATAGTCGTATAATGAGCCTCTTTCATGGTAGTCCGTGATTAATAACATCTGCGTCCAAGATCCTGTCCCTTTGATGTCTGCTGCGATGAAGCCCAAAATGTTATCGTGTCTCATCAACACTGTTTGATAAATTTCCGTCTCTCTGAACCAGGATGCTTCTTCCAACGTAAAAAATACTTTGACTGCCACCTTTTCCCCCCTCCATCTCGCAAGCCATACTTCGCCGTAACGTCCTTTCCCGACGCACTGGGATAAAGCTAGTTGTTTAGCAATAGTTCGTTGTACCAAAAGAGGTAATCCGGATCCGGAACCACTGCTTTGATCGATAAAGTCTTTGAGTGTCCCTTGAGAAGGCACTAAGCAAGGCCCCCTTTCTTTTCTTCTGTATCTGTGATATATCATCACCATAGCTATCGGAATCAGCATTAGGCATATGGACAAAACGGTAGCCAATATTATAAGTGGCGCACCCGACGCTATGGCCATAGGATTAGGAATCGTAGTAGGTCGGGGTTTGTATTCAGGAAACAAGTCTTTGTTACATAAATCGCTCTTGTTACAGCAAATTATGCTTTTCCCTTGTAAATGCGGGACGAGGTATCCCTTGCATTGCATGAAACCTTGCTCATCTGGCGGTAGACAGCCAAACGAGAATTCTGGCACATATTCTCCCGATTCTTGATCCCAAACCTCTTCTACCGCGCTAAAGCAATGACCACCGGGTCTTCCCTCGCAGGTCCCATTTTGCCTATCGTCTGGGCAATGTCCCTCGCAGTAACACGTGATCCCAAATGCTGAAAAATGAAACGGATCGCTTGTCAACGTTAGCGTCGTCACTTCCTTATCTTTGCCTTATCGCGCGTAATAAATCGGAATCATTGCTCTTCGATGACTCGTTGGTAGTTTATACCGAAATAGAAGCGACGAGTAAGGTACGAAGGAAAGCAAAGAACATGGAAACGGTCGAGCAAGTAACGGTTCACCTTGCGCCGCGGGATTAAGTACATATTCTCTTCTTGTGTCTATTTTACGATGACCGCTCTATTTATATAACCGAACATTCGGATGAATGATCAACAATTCTCAATGCGTATATTACGCGTCCGACTTCCTCATTCTTTTTCCTCTCCGTTTCTGCGGAATTCGTTTTATGCATTACGAAACCCGGATGACATTTTCTGACAAATGATCGCGAGTTATACCGATGATAGGTTCTACTGTAAGCTAAAAATAATAAATAACACTTCCGAGCAACAATTCAACCTTGAATTAAATTTTATCGAGAGAACGCGCGTGTATTCCACAAGTTTCTCTTAGCCTACGGCATAGTAACGCCGTGTATGCCGATCGTACCATACAAGGAAATCACTGATGTACGATTATCCGACAACTTCCAAGAGAGGTAAACGTGCTTTACAGCAATCTCCAAATGTGGTCTCGATCGCATGCGTTGCTTTACCCTTATTTGCTTCGGAAACGCTAAAGAAAAACGCCCAGCATCACCAAATCGGTTTTGTTTCTCACATCGCGTTTCCCGCGTACTTAAAAAATCTCGACTCTCCTTAATCAATGAATTTTTTCGATTTCACGTGTGCGTCAAATGAAAAAAGAACGTACATTTCTTCAAAGTTTACTATACATATATATACATATCTACGATGCGTAACACTTTTGTCTGATACGTATTTACAAAGTACGATAGCACAGGGCAATTACCGCGCAGATGGATAACGTGTTCACGGAAAAATTGATGATTTTACACGTACACACCATATTAAAGATAATAACGGAAATGGTAAGATCTCAGGATACAGAAATTGTTGAGTGATGAGTTTAGCGAAGCCTAAAATTAATCCGACGCGAAGCTACGCGGAGAACTAAACAGAAACTAGCCAGAAATACAGGATATGTGGGTACAGGCGAAACGACGGCCACTCGAATATAACACAGGTCATGTGGGAAAAAAGGGAAAGAAAAGTAGAAAAAGGTCGGGTGCATTGCGAGCGGAGCTTTAGAAGCTGCAAAAGCGGCGGGACACAGTAGCTGATATTTCAGTCCCTAACCTAAGCGCCTAACCTCCTCGTCTTTCTTGCTTTTTAGCCCATTCCATTTCTTATCCATCCTCTCTTCTTCAAACGAAGCATACTTTCGTATTTAAAGGCTCCTTTTACGGAAATATCTTCGCCGTATAGCGAATGACAGATTGCGCAACTGACCAATGAACTTTTTGTTTACAAAAATTGAAGCAATGAAATTCGTAACTACGCGATAAAATTAAATCACCCGTTCAACAGACGTTGAGAAGGAATTCTTGATAATCGTCAGGTAAACCGAGTTACTTGACACTTGGCTCCTTTTTGTCGGGAAACTCGAAAACGCGTTCGGGGAATAAGATTACAACGAGGTCGTGTTTCAGAATGATTTTTCTTAAACTATTCGAGAATCGTGCGTGCGTTTCTCATCAATATGTTTAGAAGAAACACTGATGTATCATTAATCAGAACTAAACGCGCGCGCGTGAGAAAGAGAGATGAGGAGAAACAAGAGCGACAGAGTATAGATTCGTGTGTGGCTAAAGGCGAACAATAGTCAACAGCGTACATTAATCGTTCTCGCCTCGAGAATCCGCATCCAATCGATTCTCTGGGTACATCGTGCACTGCGCGTTCACCATGTTTCCGTGAGACACGCGTGTCGCGTGCACGGCCGTAAAATGGATCACGGGTATACTCACCACAAACGAATCTCGTGATAAACACTCCCAAACCGATCCAGAGGCCGTATTTACATCCGCGCCGATCCGGGGTAGCGGAGAGCGCGGCCATTTTCTACACTCGAGAGCACATACTTCACTGTGACGTAGGGCGAGACGCAACGGCCGCAAAGCGCAGGTTGATCCACCTCGGCTGTTTCCGACACTCTACGGAAACAACTACTAGCAGCATCTTATTGGAGGACCGTTCGCATGAACCGCTTCGGGTCTTCGACGAAGACGATCGTGTGAGATAGTTTAAAAGAGAGAAACAGAGATATTCTAGTAGCAACGTGCCTCGCATCAGGCAGCACCCCGTTCTTTTTACCTAATCGCAGCTAATAAGTACAAACGTGATCAAAAGTATTTCGATACTTGACTGAGGATCATCATCTTTGTCAGGTATAACATTTTTAAATAATCGGTCACTGCTGGTTTTATCCGCATTCAATATTAAACTGAAACTCTTATCGCATTAAAACATTGTCAGTCTGTTGTCTCAAAACTGAAATCAGTATGAGGATATCCTGACTTTATACATATTTATGTAAATAGCATGATACAATTTTAGTACTCGTTTGAGAGCTAATAAAACAGAGTTTGGTATTTTCACTCACTGCTGAGAATAAAATGAAGATTTGGGAATGGTTACATATGAACATATCTTTGCCATCTGAATCGTAAGCTACATACCTGGTCAGTCATCCTACCCAATAGGGACTGTAAAACGTGCGACGGCGACGGCGCCCTTGTTGGGCGCCAGGATGCCGCGACTAGCGGTGCAGAGATGTTTCTTACTTCTTTTCCTTTTCGTCGACCGCGCGTAGTAGTATACACATATATTTACATATATCAATGCACATCGCATGTATGCTTCGATGAGCGAATCGAGAGAAGGAAAGGCGCGAAAGTTAATCCGTGACAAACTCATTTTTGACCTTTTTATTCCGGGAACTAAATACCAGATGGCTGGTTCCTCGAGATCTTTTAAAAATCCTCAATCCCTATACACAGAAATATTATACCTAGCACGCTTGGGAGGACTAAAATGAGTTCCACAGGTATATAAATCCCGATTCGCTACGCAGCGAAGAAATCAAAAAAGCGATGGGAGAGGGACAAAGGAAAGAGCCTCGAAACGGCTCAACATAAAAAAAGAAATGGGAAGGATCGGAGAGAAAGGCGGTATTCTACGCGCCTTGAAAGTGATGTATTCGCACTTTTGTCGGCGCCGCTTTTGGTGATCGAGGCGATCGCATGAAACATCGTACGCCGAGTTCGAAGCTCTTATATTCCTTTGATCTACTCCTATATTGGCCGGTAGCAATGAGATTAATCGGTAGGACAGTACGTCGGATAATTAATCGTAATTGTATCCATTTAGTGGGGTTGATGCTCGTCCATTACGTAGATAATTGAAAGTAATTCCCATGTATTTCTGTTGCGCCATGCGTAGTTAACGCGTTTGCTCACCTATCCGCCTGAGCGAATCATTAATTAATCGTATCAGGAGAAAAACAAGCTGTTTAGTTGAAACATTAAATGAATTCAAAGCTATAGAAAGGCTGATGAGCATACGAAGTTGTAGTCAATCTAAAGTTTCTACTTAGAAAATGTTTGGTTCGCCAGTCGTTCAAATGCCATTTCAATCATTGTAATTACCATCGATTTTTTTAAACGATATTTAAGTTTAGTTTGGCCGGCGAATCGGGCATTCCTCAAGTGGGATCTTGTTTTCAGCCGTCATTACTGTGCGACGAAAGTGAAATGAACTTGTTCATTTAAACATGTTAAATTGAACTACCTGCCACGATAACAGCTTCCCGGCCTACGGCCGAGCGAGCCTCGCGCGTTTGTCGGGGATAACGATATCTTTAGAGGCGGTTGTTATCGTTAAAAGTCAGGTGTGGATTGGGGCCACTGGTGCTCGATCAAAGCAAGCATGCCGACGAGTCGACACCACTCGAGTGTAAACGGAATAGAGAAAGGAGTCCCAGATGAATGGAGAGAACGAAATTACTCGCCTCTTCCCTGTTCATTTATTTCTCTCATTCCAGGAGTTCGAAGACTTGAGAGGAGTCAATAAACAAATATTCAATGCAATTAAACTTTGAATTATCTTGGTGAGGAACTACGGCAGTTGCACATAATCAAAAGGAGTCTGCATTGAAAAGACTCAAAAAACAAGTCTCTTGCAACGATAGCACTCGTGTTATCTAATAAAGAGGGTTTATCGCGTGCTAGCTACGATCCTGGCACACTTGGTTCTTTCTTACTCGAAGCCGTGAACGATGGGACGAGGTGCGGGGGCTGGCACCTATACCAAAGATCCATCGGGACCGGTTTCGTGTTCTGCCCTTTTTTACATTCTCCGAAGTAGTCCCGCCGAGCCGCGAGTGTGAAAACCAACACCCACCCGCTTGTTATTTTGTCATGCCCGAACCAATGTGAAAATTATAGGAATCAAGCTGGTTCTCTCATACCAAATTATTCCCGACCGCACACGTTATACCGTCTATCTATCAATTAAACGTAATGCTAAGCAATTTCGTCGCTTAACGATACCCTTTCATTTCTTTTCATTGTCACGGCTTTCTGAAACTGGATATGCAGCCGCGTATACGATGCGCCCATGCATGCACATCTTCTAATCAGCGTCATCATAAACGCGACGTGGATGCATATTATCAGCGACGTTATCAGAGAGAAAGGAAAAGGGAAGCCGAAGACAGTGCACTGTAACAGTTGGCGTGAGAAAGGATCGTCTCTTTTCGGATGATTTTAAAAAACGAATCACGTAATTTTTTAATATATTCTTGCCGTATACAAATGTAAGCAACTAGGTGTTCAGGAAAAGAAGATACAAATTTTTTTTTCCATACAGCAACTCCATTCTCTCAAAACCAGTAAAATATAATAATACATATAATACGTATATGCATAGACGTATGTATAAGAGTTCGTTTCTCTTTTCTCATCTTCTCTTACGACATTTAACTGTGAATGTGTATAGTTTGTCGATCATCATCCGTAGTCGCGTCTGTCCCTTTTTCGGTGTATTCTCTTGTTTACTCAACTTGAGAACATTTCTTCGGCTCGTGTTTCATTATCTCGAATATCTTAAGAAACTTATGGCGGGTGTATTATTTCATTTCTGGTGCGGCGAGAATCGGGCAAAATTTTAGGATAATACAGTGGCAGGAGGGTAGTGAGGCACACAAGTATGTGTCGGCATAGTGAAAATATGTAATAAACATATTTTTACATGCGGTACGTTATACGAAAACTTATATAGATACACAACACAGATTCGACGTCACCGGACCATCGCCACCCCCACCACTTCCTGTTTCCACACACCGTCGTATCTCCTTTGTATTTTTCTTTTTACGGTTTAACCAGCGATATATTCCCTGTCCGATCAGATAAAAAATATCGATGCCTTTGTTATCCCTTTGAAATTCAAAGGAGAAACGGAGAGAACGATTGAAGTTCAATGTAGCTCATCCAGAAAAGAGAGGAGAAACTGCAATTGTTTGTTGGATGCGAATATTTTTATTGGGTTACGCTGTAAAAAATTCAACGCGACATTTTCCTTTAAACGAATCTTCTCATTCTTTGTAATGCTTTTCTCTGTCTCGTTTTTTCATTAAATTTTTGCTCGGCGAGGATAAGAACAAAGACGCACGTGTAATTCTATTTTAATCGGAGGGTGCTCGGTGAAGAGCAGGAATTGATTCAGGGGGTGGTAGAAAAATCTTCTGACTCGCTTCCTCTCACACACGCACACATTCTTCTCAACACTCATCCGTCCTTTTCTTTCGTTCCCTTTCAGTTTCACGTTTTCTCCTCACTCACTCGTGTTCTCTCGCTTACTGTCTCGAACAAATTATTTTTCTTGTTACGTGTTACAAATCAGTGCGCTCACCGTTATAATCGATACGATCCAAGATCGCGTCGTATACGTATATACAGAACGATTTTAATTTGCATAATCTGGGAAAAAACGCGAGTAAATCCATCTACCGCGGGTAGGATTTTTATCATTCTATCTGTATCTTTGGCTCTCGTTTATTTCTTTTCAGATTCAAACTTTTATTCTCTTTACAAATGAAAAACGCATTCGCGATGGGTGCTCCTCGTACATTTCTCGCATCTTATTTAATAAATTGCTCCGCTAATTTACCTTAAATTCCGTTACAAAACAGCATTTGCCTTTCGTAATTTCCCTAATTATTAACTTTATTCAATTTCGAGTAAAATTTATCCTCATACTCTGTTCGAAACGAGAGCTAGCCGCTCGGAACGGACAATCTGTTTGTCGAGGAACACCTTGACGGAAACCCGTCACACAGCCTGGTCGTGACGACTAGAATTCGGTCCTGGCACGAATCTACCTCGAACAACGGATCCCCGAACGTCTCGATCCTTTATTTGTCCACCTTCTTCGAATTCGACCTCTCCCTCTGTCTCCTTCTCTCTCTCTCGGCTGACCGCGGTAGAATTTAAAAGCGAGAGGCAGCTTTGATAAAGAAACGGATATTACTTTGTAACATGTATGTACGTTATGTAATTACACTAATCGATGACTCGGCGTGTGTGTCGTGTCGTGTATGTACTCGTCGTACGGTCGACGACCTCGCCTAGTTATTTCGATGATAGTCACGGAGATATGACGACGCGTTAAATCGAGATACTCGAAGTCATTCGTGCAAGGACTGCCGGTCCGTGGAAAAACGATCGGATCTCGCGCTTTGCCTCGGGGTAAAGGACGACGATGAATTTCGACACGGAGTTCGAAGATTTTATGTATTCTTCTAAACTGGTTTGAAAGATCCGGTAGTAGTCCGTAACGCGTAACAGTTTCCAGCTCAAGTTTTCTCCCTTGTAAACTTTTAAATATCGATTTCGTTCAGTTCTTTCTTATTTTCGTTGTTAGATTGCGATTAGAGCGAAGCGGTTTCAGTGGCTCGAATTTGTAAGTATCCAGCGTTAAAGTGTACGTGTGTAAGCTTAGAACATTTAACATCCTGACATGTAAAACGTGCGAGAACTTGCGTTGGAAACTCGTCGGAAGCAATGTAGAACAAACGGTGCGAGGTGTTGTCGATACTTTGGACGAATTCGATGTTCGAAAGGGCGCGTGACGAATCAGGTGGCTCGCCTGAACGTGATTTATTTTTCGTTTCGTGACGATGCGATGGACGTCTTTCGGTATTCGACTTTTTTCTCCCCTTCTCACGCTGGACGTGACGAATCGTATTATTTCAAACGAAAAAGTGCTACTTCGTTCTGGTCGCGTCCTCGTCAATCGAATCGGATTTCGAGAACAGCAGTGACTCGTTCGGTTGCCGGATCTAAACGACTGGTAAGAAAAAATCGATTCTAACAAACATAATAGACTCTTTTACTGTTTCCTCAAATGGGCAGATACATTTGACAGAGTTCCTTAGAAATAAAATTTCAATTATCGTTGTGCATTTATCGTTCAGCTTCCTTCGTTCGCAAATCGATTCGCAGAGAGAATCTCGTGTCTCTTTCAACGGAACGTGCTTGGCCGAATGTGTAGCCACGTACATATGCGAATGCCGATTGGATATGAAATTAATAAAAGGTGATCACTGTTGTCCTCTTCCTGGACCGTGTTAGATATCCCTCGATCAAAGTACCCATATCCTTTCTAAGTGCGAAAATCCACGTGTGTTGCGTGTACTACTGGTAGGTTATTAGGAATCAAAGATAATCTCTATTCGTAATTAAAAAGCTGCTTCTCATTAGCGCTGCGCCGCTGCTCTTCTCGTTACAAAGTGACTACGAGTCATTTAATCGTTACATCGAATGTATCGGTATCATTTACAGCCTAAAATACTGAGCAAAGAACGAATAGACTCGTGATCGATGATCCCTGATCGAGCTCTCCTCGCTTTCTGTAATTACGTTTAATGATTCATTCACCGTTCCACTAACGTATTATTCTCTTGATTATTTGTCGTAATAAAAAGACTTTTTACATACTCTCTCCGCTTCCGAACTTTAGACTTTAGATGTTTGGCGTTTCGTCTTTCGACTTGGATAATTCTATAGCAATCGGTTTTGAAGATATAATGTTTGATACTAATGGAATCTCGATTTATTTGTTTAAAGCGATATGTGATCTCGATCACAGGCGATTTCGATTAATTATATTTTATTTAGTCGGACCTAATATTCACTAATGATATAAGATCAATCTCTAACGATTGCCAAGACTATTAGCGTCTACGTCAAATCTTAAACGCGTCCCCTGGAAAGATAATACGTGTATAAGAAAAAATATCAGAAAACGGTTTCGGAGGTCATCGAGGATCATTGATCATAGTTTTTCACCCACGTACCGTTGCGTGATAAATCGCATTCGACGGGTGAAAACGTAAACTCGGGAGGTCGAGAACGAAAAGAGAGGAAGAGAAACCAACGTACGCTTAAGAGCAATAATTAATTCGAGTTATCTTGTAAAAAATTCTTTACAACGTGTATACGCATACACACGCGCGTGTACGTATATATAATATGTATATATTTATACACCGTTATTGCGCAGCAACTGTCACTTCTTCATCTTAATCGTTTCGCTTATTGTTGTTCCACCGTTTTCATACACCCTAGGTATTTTACATTTTCCTCGCCTTCCCTTCCCATTACGCTTGCGTTTCTTCCCTACTTTATGACAATAATAATGTAATAACAATAATAGTAATAATAATAATAATAATAATAATAATAATAATAATAATAATAATATTTAGTAACCATCGATCGAAATTATCCTGCTGATAATTTTCCTTCCTTTCTTGCCTCATATTTTCCCATTAGCTGTTTCATTTATTTATTTATTATATCATATTTTTTTGTTGTCTGTATAAAGGACATTGCAGTTTTACTCGCAGGTGGCACTCAGAATTGTATTATTATTTTCGCAATAATTAATTGTTCGTCTCGGGTCATCCAACTATAGTCTCGATCCCCGACACAATGCCTTTACCTTACACAACTTACATACTTAAACACGTATGATATTCTGCCACAGTTTATACTTCTTTTTGTAATCGTACTGCAAGCTCTGATAAATCCCTTCTCTTTCGTAGCTTATTTATCACGTAAAACGTCGCCTATAATAAGCATTAAAAAAAGATGGTGCTCTCAGTCAGATATATCTTAATTTCAAAGTTAGCTACGTGTTCTCCGTGACGCGAAGGACTCGAAAATTTACGAAATTCCTCGCGAGCTGCATACTCCTCGGCCTTTTTTTTATGCATTACTTCTCTCGCGTCTGCAGATCTACGAACTCCTGCCGTCGTCTTGTACTTTCATTTTATATTTATCATTAATTTTCTCCCATTCCGTGTTCCTCCCTTCAATTGATTACCTTACCCTCCCTGTACCGAGCAACGAAAGAAAGCTCTCCGCGTGGGGAACGAAAAGCAACGTCTTCAGAATATTGGAAATTGGTGTATCTGTATGTTCGTGTAATCTATGTATCTATCGTAATTCAATTAAAAAATTGTTCGAAGGAAACAGCATTGATGCGGATGGAAACCTCGAAGGTGAGTTTCCGTTTCTGCAAGAGTTTTCAGCGTAACATGTAAATATCTTTGTTTGTGTTCGTGTACTTGTTCATGTATAACTTTCAGAACCGCTCGTGCTTTCTATTCTTGCTCTCGTATCGTCGCCTTTTGAACATGTAAATTTCTTTTACTGCGGCCGCTGATCGATTTTCCTTCAACGATTCCCTTCTCTAATAGTCTCGTTCTCATTCCATGAAGGAAACAAAGTCAGGTAACATTAAACTCGAGTGGAAAATAGAAAGTGCTTCAGTACCGAAGTTAACTAATCATCCGCGACGTTTCGCGAGTAGTAACGCAGTGCATAACAGAAAGCTTGGCTCCTGACTTTAAGAAAAGAGTTCTACTCGAGATATTAAACACTTAGATTTAATATAAGTAGAGAAGCGAGTGATCGATAGAATAGAGCGTGCTCAATTGTTCAGAAGTACCCGTACTCTCGTGCGATCTTCAAATATCAGAAAGTTCAATCCAGAGTCAAGTGAAATCCCTAACGGAGAATCGATCAGCCGACGCGTCATCCGTTTCTCTGTATCGCGTTTCAAATGCTGTTGCATATCTGATATTCCTAAGAAGTTCTCCGGGACATTCAGCGGACTTCTTACGAAGATCACCGCGCGGTTTCACCAAAGGGGAACGGAAGGAGTCCACAGCCGTCCGAATGATCGTTGGAATCGCGTCGTCGCGGCGATTCCTCGATCGTCCAAGTGACGAGTCGCGTATCAGTCGCGAGCGAGCCGAGTAATTATATTTCAAAAGGAAGGAGAACCTTGGCTTTAACTACCGTGATCCTGATCGAGCTCGTCCAACGACTCCAGCCTCGCGATTGGCGCCTCGTTTATCGTGAACTCCCAAGAGATGTCCTCGCTGGCCTGCCTCGAGGATTCCTGACGCGTCCCCGACGCCTGCCCGGCACCTTCCTGAACCGGTTGCCTACCGTCTGAACGTTGGCTGCTCGCCAGATCGGTGGAACCACGATGGTTCGTTGGTTCTTTACGAGATTCGCTGCTCCGAGGACGCTGAGAGGCACCTCGATCCGACACGGATACTACGCAGCTCCACGGGTCGCCCCCTTCCGGTTCTGAACGTTTATTGAAAGAGCTGTACCTGTTAAGATTTACGCATTTCACTTGTAGTTCCCAAAAATTGTTCTCCTTTTCCTTCGTTTCGAGCTTATTTTCACGCATCCGTACAAAACGAATCGTTGGAATTGATTTCGTACCCGCTCCTGAACTCTCCTCTTCTGAACGCGGCCGGTTGGCTGTGCCACGCGTGTGGCAAGTGCGACTGTTGCGTGTTGGGTGGCACAGCCAGGTCAACAGGTTGGCTCTGGGACCTCGTGGGTGCCGTCCTTCCGTTCAACGCCGTTTGCAACGCTGTCGCCAGGGCGGACGTGTCCGAAGTGACGGTCAACCGCGAGGTGCCCGAAGACGTTGACGTTGGCTCTCTCGTCGGCGGTCTGCTGCGGATAGAGATTAAACAGGGGTACGAATTAACCGGGTATCGATCAGTTCGATCAGCAGACGTTCGCGTGTCCGCGTTTGTGAGTAGCAGCGGAATATACTTGAAGCACGTGAATTATGTACAAGGGAGTTCGGTTAGGCCTCTAATTCTTCTAATTGTAAGTGTCCCGAACAGTGTCGCAGGGTCTGACTGTCACGGGTTTTACTCGTTTTCCAGTTTTCCGGTCACGTCTGACATCGACATTCTGGTTCTCTTACGTATGTACTTCTACGAAATGGGTCGTGTTCAACTTCAATTCGCCGTTCTTTGGTATGCTAGCGTTCAAATCCAAAGGGAGCACGCGTTCTGATTAGAGTGCTAACGACTAGTTCGCATTAGTCGAGTAACTAGATGAATATACATTGAATAAAAAATTATTATTGTTACCATGCTGTTCTCCAGTTCGCTCTCCTGCTTGATTGTTTATTCGACTAATGTAAACTAGACGCAGAAAATGAATATATTACGATTATACGGTAAAACCTCGATAGTCTCTTACGACAAGCTTAGATCGAGTTTAGTTTTAAATAAACAAAGTGATTTATTAATCAGAGCTCTTGAGACTGTCGAGACGGTACCCACTGTACATTTCTAGATGAAACTAGCAGAATATACGTATGCTTGTGCACTAATGAAAATTTATATGTCCTACGTAGTGGTGATTCATACCCGCGGGGATCAGCTACTAGTCGTATTTCTTACCTCTATCCATCGTGATGGGATATTTCATGTCGCTACGAAGGGAAACTATGATAAGATGATAACAATGTTGCGTGAATTGCGAATAAAGTGATTTCTTTCTAAATCTTTTGTATCATGAATTTCCACTATTTCATAACTTATGAATTTTCTAATTGGAAGTCACACTAATTATGTCAATTTTCTAATATGTTTTAACAAAATTTCGTTTTGAATGATTTTTGGAAAAGTCCTCCAGAGGAGATTAGATTTTCTCGCACGTTCATCCGCAACTTTCGAGAACGTGCTACTTTATAGATAAAATTAAACTGTCTACCCACACGCGTCGCCTTATATAAAAAATGTTCGATTGCCGTTTTCTAACGAGGAACAAACTAAATAAAAGTCACGCAATTTAGCAGTTTAATTAAACAAGAGTACAGATACAGGTCAAATGTAAGCTAGTACTAATGTTCAAAAATCATTTTAAGAAATATCTCAAAATGATTCTCGATTAAATGTCGATGTCAATTATTCGTTCTGTTATAGTATAAGGAAAATATTAATGAAAAAAATACAAGAAGGACATATAGACCAGGGTTAAAAACATAGAGATTGAAAAAATTGTTCAGATGCGCGTCTCTTATGACGCTAGAAAAATGTTTAACAAATATGCAGGAAGCCAGCGGCGTTACTTTTATTATTCCTTGCCCAATTGTAAAAATACTTCTGTCTCGTTTGTATCGCGCGACACTGCTCGCAAAAAAAGGGTTTCAAAGAAGAGTATGAGAGAGTATGGTCACCTTCGGAACTTGTCCAACCTTTCCAAAATAAAAGACGCCGAAATCAAATGCAACTGATCCAGGGATTTCGAAAGAAAGCTTTCCAAGAATAAAAACATCGATTACTTCCTAGGAAAAACAGAATCAGTTTCTACTTGAAAAAAAAGAAAGAGTAGTGAACTAGAGAAAACGCGTTCTGTCTACGTTTCCCGTAACTCAGCTACAAACACTGGTCTCTATAGAACACTGGATATCGGACATGTAATAATGATAATGAGGGAATCGGGAATCGCCCAGGATCGATCGGGAATCACCTGAACGATCCTGGGCGATAATAGATAAATGAGGGAGGTCCAAATATGCTCTCGCTGCCGATCACTTTAGTACTATTCAGCTCTAAGAAGGGTATTGAATCTTTCATTGAAAACCCTCTCGGTCGATAGAGGAAGTCAAGATGAAAAAGATCGCTTTTGATCCATCCCGATATCTCAATCCGTTCCGGAGATATAGACTTCCAATGTTTTTAAGCCCAGCGTTTGGTACAGTGACCTAGTTACGCGTTGAACGTCTAGACCGGATAGAGATTGGGGTAGGTCCGGGAATCGGTCAACGAGCGAGAAGGACAGCGCCGAAAAAATGATGGTTGTCTTCGCACGATATCTCCGGAACTAGAAGTCGGATCGAGATGAATCAAACGGCATTTTAAGGATCTATTGGCTATACAGTCAATCCCGAAAGTTTATGTACCTCAGAAAAACGGATTTCCTATACTTAAAAAGAAATCAGACGTCGGAAGAATAATGCTAATAATAAATAGCTACGTGCTAAAAAGTATAGAAGGAAATATCCAATTAAGTATTGACG